TAGAGTACGACTTAATCAAACTAGAAATGCTCTACAAATCAAGGGACCCAGAATGTGGAATGACCTTCCCAACCATGTTAAAGACTGTACCTCTCTCAACCAGTTTAAGATAAAAACGAAGCTATACTTAATAAATTCCCTGCAACCTACCTTACCCCTCTATTGTCAACCAACGTCTGTTTTTTTTTAAAGAGCGCTGTTTGTCGACAGAATTGTATTTGTGCTGCTTTTTCAGCTATGTTTTCATTCCATGTTCTCATTTTATTCTTTATGCTCAATTAGTATTAAGCTTTAGTCAATTAAGTTTTTCATGCCCGAAACGCTTTGCGTAATAGTGGCTTTAGGCATTGTATGTACTAGCCCTATCTATAAATCCATCACTCTTTGTAAAATCTCTTGTATGTATGTACCTTACCTAAATAAACATTTGATTTGATTTGATTTGATTTGTTTCCAATTGATTCTTATACATGCACAAGTCTTTCACTAAACCCTCAAGACATAAAACTTTGCTATTTAAATGGTCATTACTTTCTTTCAATTTACTAATTATTTCTACATGAGAGGTCATTATAGTATCTAATTTTACCAACTTGTTGTATAGACTGGTAATATCAATGCTTTCTTTACTGAATCCAGCAAAATCAAGGTCTGTTTTGTATTTCCTCTTGCCGGCGGCCATCTTGAATGTTCTTCTCTGCACTGGAAACACTAGGGCAACTTTTTCTCATCCAATTTTTCACTTCCCTTGACACATTCCTGTTATCTCACCTATTTTTCAAAAGCACTATACCTTTATGTTCTCTGAGACACAACGCACTATCATCATCCTGTACTACAATACTTAGGATTGTTGAAATATGCTGGAGCTCCTCTTGTCTGCCTCTTGGGAAAGAACTTGAGGGGGACTCAAAAATATATATGTCTTAGGTACTAATATTGGGGAAATGGCTACAGTGTGAATTTGAAGGTAGGAAATAATTACAGAGGCACATAATCGGTATAGGAACTGAACCCTCTAGTTCATTTAGCTAAGCAAATAACAAGATTGGTATTTTTACATTCATGCAAAGCCACTAACATGCATAGAGTTTTGGCCAGGTCCTTAATCTAACATATCAGGTAAGATGACAGGGTACATTATAACAAGGTTTTTATATCAACAGATAACTGCAATATAAGTTGACAGCGGTGATTACATTGGTAAGGATATATATGTCTTAGGTATTTATATTGGGGAAATGGCTACAGTGTGAGCTTGAAGGTAGGAAACTATGAGGATGAAATTAGGTACTTTTTGGTTTTACTTTTGAACAGGGCATTGGTTGGAGAATTTTTTAATTCATCAGGGTGTGGGTTCCAAAGACTGGGGCCCTTTTATTTGCCTGGAGTGTTTGCACAGATTTAGTCTGGCTCTGGGGATATCAAAGATATATTTATTTGTGGTGTGGTGCTCCTGGGCTCTATTACACCTATCAAGGAAAAGTTTCAGTTCAAGATTAGCATTTAGGAACATGGTTTTATACATGTAGATAGCACATGAGAATGTGTGGAGTGAATGTATGTTTAGTATGTTAAGCAGGGACTTAAAGAGAGGGGGCTGTGTGTGTTGTCTGAAGACAGAGTTTGTTATAGTTCTGATAGCAGATTTTTGCTGAGTGATGATGGGATTGAGGTAACTTGTAGTGGTTGAACAGCTCATCCTCCGAATCGACAGTATGTTTTAATACTAAGTGTAATAAGTACAATACAGACTACAGGTGTAGTACATAAATACACTTAATCGCCAGAATTGAATTGAAATTGAATTGAAATTGAAATAAGTTTATTGAGGTAAAATACACACAAAGGGATGAGATAGCTCAAGCTATTCTCACCCCGTTCAGTACATCGTGTTAATACATACATAGACACACATCACAAACAATAAACATATTACCAAACATTTGAGAGATAAACATATACATTTCCTCCTTTACACAAGTAAATCGCCAAAATCGCAAGAAAAATATTGTGAATATTTGAGTTTACCTGAAAAGCTGAATAGAAAACCACGACCTAACCTAACCTTCACAGTGTATGAGGACAAGCATTTTATTGCTTCTTAATTACAATTAGTACTTAACCTATAACTATATTGATATTACAGTTTTATAAAACTAATAAAACAAAACTAAAAGGTAATTATATACTATTCCTAACAATCAGGAAATGAACTTATTACACTTTTTAAATGTCAATTCGGAGGATGCAGTGAACCCCGTGCACAGATACCGTATGTAAGATAAGGATAAATTAGTGCGTGCAGGCGAGGAGTCACAATAACGGGGCTGAAGTATGTTGACCAGACCACACACTAGAAAGTGAAGGGACGACGACGTTTCGGTCCGTCCTGGACCATTCTCAAGTCAATCGTCTTGAGAATGGTCCAGGACGGACCGAAACGTCGTCGTCCCTTCACCTTCTAGTGTGTGGTCTGGTCAACATAAATTAGTGTGTAGTATAATGAGAGGAGAGCGGGGTGAAGAACATCACATCTGATTTTATTAAGTATACTGACCGAATTATACTGAATTATGAATAATAATGAGTAATAATTCATTGTGTCGGGGGCTTATATCGAGGTTGGGGCCCCCCCCCCCCCTCCCAGGTCGAATCACCAACCCCGCCCAAGCTAACTCCTGGGTACTTACTTACTGCTAACAGGGTGAGAATAGCTTGAGCTACCTCATCCCTTTGTGTGTATTTTACCTCAATAAACTTATTTCAATTTACTTACTGCTAGGTGAACAGATGCATTAGGTGAAAGGAAATGTGCCAAATTATTTATGTTCCGTCCGGTTTAAGTTCAAGTAAGTTTATTGAGAAAATAAAGTACATTTCAATAGGATAGAGTAGCTTAGGCTATTTCTACCCTCGTCTATATAAGGTCGTTCAAAGGGCTCACAAACCCTTTACACAATTCACAATTATTGATCCAATACACAATTATTAATTATATTTTACACTTCGCATTCAGTGGTGATCACATGTCATACTGTGAGATCTCTTATTGATTATGGTGCCTCTGTCTAGTCTTGTATTGGTAAAAGCAGACTAAACAAATTGGAGAAGGTACAAAAAGAAGTCATGAGAATAATCCGTATGATTATTCTCATGCTTCTTACCACAATATCGACATCTGAGGTCAAATTGACATTTCCAACCCATATGTCCCCAGCGAGAACACTTATGCATAATGTAGGCTACTCAATATATTGTCACTTTCCTGTATCCAAGTCCTTGTACAAAAATTCTTTCTGGAGCCTCACCCTTTAACAAGGCAACAATCTGGCCTTTTTTCACCACGAACAATGCTCCTCTTAGCCCACAACACTATCATTGATGAGAAGAAAACCAGGATCCAAATAAGTTGGAGTAAATTGGTGTAAAAATTTACTTGGTGTAAATCATACCTGCTTCAGGAGTAACCAACTCAATATTCTTAAACCCAAATGTCGTTAGGTGTTCCACGGCCTCATCTCTCCCAGCCGTTATGTAAGGCCGGTGAACATCAGCCTTAAATAATGGTTCATATTCACCAAATTCCTTTGCCAAATAAACGGTCCACTCCGGCTTCTGATGAAACGTTAGTGGAGATGTCGAGGAAAATAGCAGCCGCTTCCTTCCATTAATTCTTGCCTCTTGTTGCATGTGGTCCTGTTGCATCCTTCCGGTGAGATTATCTTGCTGAGTCTGTACAGAACTTTGACACCCGGGTCCTGTCTGCCGTCGACCACAACACTTCTTCACTCCATCACTGTCAGTATCACTGAACTCTGCGCACAGTTTTCCCTTTGTTTCTCCTGGCCATTACTACCTGAAAAGGCCTGGAATATCCTTGTTCATCCTCTATCAAAGTCACTGGCTCACACGTTCACAACTTTCCAGAGTAGTCTTTCCACGGTTATTCTCCGTGGTGTAGTGGTAAAACACTCGCCTGGCGTTCCGTGAGCGCTTTGTCCTGGGTTCGTATCCTGGCCGGGGAGGATTTACTGGGCGCAAATCCTTAACTGTAGCCTCTGTTTAACTCAACAGTAAAATGTGTACTTGGTTGTAACAAGGATTCTTCGCGGCGGGGATCGTATTCCAGGGACCTGCCCGAAACGCTACGCGTACTAGTGGCTGTACAAGAATGTAACAACTCTTGTATATATCTCTCTCTCTCAAAAAAAAAAAAAAAGAGAGCGCTCCAAAACGTACCCTTCCTCAACCACGGCTGGACAAGCGAAATGTCCCGCCCGGGAATCGAACCCGGAATTCTCGATTATGCATCGAGAACGAACCCGACTTTACTTACTACCGGGACCCTCGAATTTACTTGATGGCCATTAACACACTAGTGGCCTCGACAAGGATAGGAAGCCGGCGGCTTGTCAAAGCTCCCCCCATTTGCCCACATAATTTTTTCAAGCCGGATTTTAAAATTTAACAGTGTTGGCATTTACGGTTTCGGCGGGTAGGCGGTTCCATGGGTTAATAACCCTGTGGGTGAGAAAGCATCTGGTGTTCTCAGTCCTACATTGTGGCTTGTTGAGCTTGAACCCGCTGCTCCTTGTTTGTGTTACATCTGTCTTTCTGAAGAAATTGTCCGGATCAACATCCTCCAAATTGTTCAGTATTTTAAAAGTTTCAGTGAGATCCGCCCTGTCATGCCTGGTTCACAGTGTTGGTAGCCCTGTGGCCCTCAACCCTTCCTGATATGGGAGTATCTGATCCATGTAGCTAAATCAATTAATATTAATTAATGTTAATTGATCAACTCTCCCTCCCTCGCTCCCATTAACCATCCACCACTAGACTATCCACAAATCCACACCTACACACACCAGCATTTATCCTCCAGCCAAATATCAGTTACAACTATTAGAACGCCCTAACCTCTCCATCCCCCCCGTGACGGTGCCTCCAGCCATGAACCCCCTACACACGTGATCAAGCTGACTGTTGGTGCTACTAACATTGATGCCGGGGTCGTTTGGCTGGCCGGTGGGGATGATCCTGTACTCTCCGGAGACCTTCATACCCAGCACCATCACTGATGAGCAGTCCCGCGGCGGCTCACACCCTGGGGGAGAGACGGGAGCCTTCAGGCCCTCACTCCTGCCCTCTGTTAGTAGTGTAGAGTGCGACTAGAGCGACGCGCGCCACCTGCCTAGGTGTCACTCTTGAGTGCCAGGTGGGCAGGTGGCACGCGTCGCTCTAGTCGCAGCGCGTCGCTCTAGTCGCAAGGGGTTTTTGGGGGAATTTTCCCGGAAGTTTGGCATGTGTCGGACGTGTGTGAGGGTCGGGTGTTCGAGTATGTGGTCAGGAAAGAGGGGAGGTCATGTTGTTGGGGTGTAGGAGAGTATGTGGTAGAGTAGAGTAAGAAATACAAGGATAAGAGTGGAATATGAGGAAAGAGTAAATGAATATGTATGTGTGTTTGGCGTAGACTTATTCCTGTGTGAAGATAATAGTTGTTGATGATAGTAAGCTATGTAGAGGATGAGTGAGAGGGGACCCAACATAGGTATGTTGTTTTGGGTGGGGGGAGGGGTGAGGGAGGGAGGGAGGGATGGATGGAAGGGTGAGGGGAGCTTCCCCTCGTCGTGAGACTGCTCGGGGTCATTTGCGGTTTTTGACAAACCATTAGCTCCCCCTACAGGAAGTCGTAAGTGGGAGAGGAGGGTATGAGAGAGCAGAGTCCAGGAGGAGGGATGTGGTCCATTTGCCTTAAGGGCTTTTCGATGTCTTACGACAAGACTTGGAGATGTTCACCCCAGCATGGCCCTACCTCCACTGCGATTCCGTTAAGGAGGGAGCGAGGATCATACTCCGCCAGCAGGGGGTCCACCTGTCATCGTCAATCACCCCCACCCCTCCCATACCATCAGGGGGGCCCCCTCTTCCCCTTACCTTCTAGAGTGGTACGGACCAGGATCACATACCGGCACATCGACCTGAGAAGTGCCACCACACGGCACATCACTTAGTAAACTCAGTCAAAGTCACTAGGTTAGCGTTTACTAAAAGAGGGAAACATTTCACATCGTCACGGAGACGCGATCTCTACCTACAATCGTTCTTCTTAACTGTGATCATTGAAATGTATGCATGTTTACTCAATCTCCATCACCTCTTCTTCCTACAGCCATTACTGTTGTGCAGAGCTTGTATCACACAACGGCGTTATCATAGCAAGTCAATGTCATAGAATGTTCAAGACTCCTGAATGAATGAACCGGCAGTCCCTCTCGCTGAGGTCTAACCTTCGCGGCGGTTTGAGACGTTGTGAGATGGACAAGGTAATGGGGTGGCCTTACCCTCTCCCCATCCACCCCCACCAAACCCCTACCCCCTCCCACCCCCCTCCTCTCTCCATACCATCAACCATTGTTCTGTGCAAAACCTTTAGTATTTTTTCTGATCATATGTATAACCTTGTATCGCATCGTGACCAACATGGTATCATCATTCTTTGCTCAAATAGCATTTTGTGTTTGGCTAAATGAGGTTCACATTTCAATAATGATATTCGGACAACCGCCAGAAAGTTGATCTCCACGTGACTTAATAATGATATAATGCGATGCAAGCGCGTGCTAATATTTTATTTGTGTTTAGAATGTAAGGGCTATAGGAGATTGTCTAGACTTGCATACATTTTCAAATGCTAATTATGTAGGCAGTAGAAAGACTGTTTCCCCATTACGCTACATTGAGTGTGATACAAGAACTGAAAATAGACATAGCCCAGAGCTATTTCACTATCATCTCATCCGGTCTGTTTACATTGGATAATGCAGGTCTTAAGAGAGACAGCCTTGAACTCGGGGATAATGAACAACTCAATTTAATAATAGTATCAAGACTGTGTTTTTCCATATTGTCGTATATATGTTACTTTGCTTGGAATTTGTATGTGTGGAACATTGATCACCTAATGGAGTAAGAATGAAGGAGGCGTTTGAGCTATAGCGAGGACTGACCGTGATGTGTATGTTTGTTTTACCACAGTGAATATGAAGCTATATTATGCTATGTCTATCAGTTGTTGAATAAACGCTGCATTACGTTATGTGATACAAGAACTAAACAAGGTTGTGGTAATATTTTATTGTGTTTGGATGTAATGGCTAAACATAGTTTACATTTCATTATTCAGACATCGGACAGAAAGTTGCTCGTTACTCTTAAAATGTTATTTGGGCAAAGAACGAAGTTAGCATATTGGTCATGCTACCTTACAAGGTTATAAGGGTGAGAGTGATGGGGGCTCGAAAATTGACATTAGTCGTCCATCCTCTGATGCGCTGTCAGTCTAAGTGAAATGGAGAAAGATACGTGAACAGCAGCAGCAGGAGAAAGGAAATGATGTTACTTTCCCCAACTATTAAATGATCTGGAGAGAGAGAGAGAGAGAGAGAGAGAGAGAGATATAGAGAGATAGATATAGAGAGACAGATATAGAGATAGATATAGAGAGAGATAGAGAGAGAGAGATATAGATAGAGAGAGAGATATATAGATAGAGAGAGAGAGATATAGATAGAGAGAGAGAGATATAGATAGAGAGAGAGAGATATAGAGAGATATATATAGAGAGAGAGATGTAGAGAGAGAGATATAGAGAGATATATATACAGAGAGAAACCACTGACTGACTGACTGACTGCTATGTATATCCCATGCAGTTGTGTTTACAACAAATTATGATTTGTTATAATAATAAGATTGAAGACCAGCTTATGACTGGATATTCTTAAAAAATGCTATTTGAGCAAAGAATGATGATACCATGTTGGTCACGATGCGATACAAGGTTATACATATGATCAGAAAAAATACTAAAGGTTTTGCACAGAACAATGGTTGATGGTATGGAGAGAGGAGGGGGTAGGGGTTTGGTGGGGGTGGATGGGGAGAGGGTAAGGCCACCCCATTACCTTGTCCATCTCACAACGTCTCAAACCGCCGCGAAGGTTAGACCTCAGCGAGAGGGACTGCCGGTTCATTCATTCAGGAGTCTTGAACATTCTATGACATTGACTTGCTATGATAACGCCGTTGTGTGATACAAGCTCTGCACAACAGTAATGGCTGTAGGAAGAAGAGGTGATGGAGATTGAGTAAACATGCATACATTTCAATGATCACAGTTAAGAAGAACGATTGTAGGTAGAGATCGCGTCTCCGTGACGATGTGAAATGTTTCCCTCTTTTAGTAAACGCTAACCTAGTGACTTTGACTGAGTTTACTAAGTGATGTGCCGTGTGGTGGCACTTCTCAGGTCGATGTGCCGGTATGTGATCCTGGTCCGTACCACTCTAGAAGGTAAGGGGAAGAGGGGTGCCCCACTCTAGAAGGTAATGGAGGGGATGGAGAGGGGGCCCCCCTGATGGTATGGGAGGGGTGGGGGTGATTGACGATGACAGGTGGACCCCCTGCTGGCGGAGTATGATCCTCGCTCCCTCCTTAACGGAATCGCAGTGGAGGTAGGGCCATGCTGGGGTGAACATCTCCAAGTCTTGTCTTAAGACATCGAAAAGCCCTTAAGGCAAATGGACCACATCCCTCCTCCTGGACTCTGCTCTCTCATACCCTCCTCTCCCACTTACGACTTCCTGTAGGGGGAGCTAATGGTTTGTCAAAAACCGCAAATGACCCCGAGCAGTCTCACGACGAGGGGAAGCTCCCCTCACCCTTCCATCCATCCCTCCCTCCCTCCCTCACCCCTCCCTCCACCCAAAACAACATACCTATGTTGGGTCCCCTCTCACTCATCCTCTACATAGCTTACTATCATCAACAACTATTATCTTCACACAGGAATAAGTCTACGCCAAACACACATACATATTCATTTACTCTTTCCTCATATTCCACTCTTATCCTTGTATTTCTTACTCTACTCTACCACATACTCTCCTACACCCCAACAACATGACCTCCCCTCTTTCCTGACCACATACTCAAACACCCGACGCTCACACACGTCCGACACATGCCAAACTTCCGGGAAAATTCCCCCCAAAACCCCTTGCGACTAGAGCGACGCGTGCCACCTGCCGCTGCGACTGGAGCGATGCGTGCCACCTGCCCACCTGGCACTCAAGAGTGCCACCTGGGCAGGTGGCGCGCATCGCTCTAGTCGCACTCTACACTACTTCTGTTGGGGGAACTGTGAACTGTCACTCCTGCCCTCTGTTGGGGGACTGTAAGCTGTCACTCCTGCCCTCTGTTGGGGGAACTGTAAGCTGTCACTCCTGGCCTCTGTTGGGGGACTGTAAGCTGTCACTCCTGGCCTCTGTTGGGAAGACTGTAAGCTGTCACTCCTGCCCTCTGTTGGGGGACTGTAAGCTGTCACTCCTGGCCTCTGTTGGGAAGACTGTAAGCTGTCACTCCTGCCCTCTGTTGGGGGACTGTAAGCTGTCACTCCTGGCCTCTGTTGGGGGACTGTAAACTGTCACTCCTGCCCTCTGTTGGGGGACTGTAAGCTGTCACTCCTGGCCTCTGTTGGGGGACTGTAAGCTGTCACTCCTGGCCTCTGTTGGGAAGACTGTAAGCTGTCACTCCTGCCCTCTGTTGGGGGACTGTAAACTGTCACTCCTGCCCTCTGTTGGGGGACTGTAAGCTGTCACTCCTGCCCTCTGTTGGGGGACTGTAAGCTGTCACTCCTGGCCTCTGTTGGGGGAACTGTAAGCTGTCACTCCTGCCCTCTGTTGGGGGACTGTAAGCTGTCACTCCTGCCCTCTGTTGGGGGACTGTAAACTGTCACTCCTGCCCTCTGTTGGGGGAACTGTAAGCTGTCACTCCTGGCCTCTGTTGGGGGACTGTAAGCTGTCACTCCTGGCCTCTGTTGGGAAGACTGTAAGCTGTCACTCCTGCCCTCTGTTGGGGGACTGTAAGCTGTCACTCCTGGCCTCTGTTGGGAAGACTGTAAACTGTCACTCCTGCCCTCTGTTGGGGGACTGTAAGCTGTCACTCCTGCCCTCTGTTGGGGGACTGTAAGCTGTCACTCCTGCCCTCTGTTGGGAAGACTGTAAACTGTCACTCCTGCCCTCTGTTGGGGGACTGTAAACTGTCACTCCTGCCCTCTGTTGGGGGACTGTAAGCTGTCACTCCTGGCCTCTGTTGGGGGACTGTAAACTGTCACTCCTGGCCTCTGTTGGGGGACTGTAAACTGTCACTCCTGCCCTCTGTTGGGGGACTGTAAGCTGTCACTCCTGGCCTCTGTTGGGGGACTGTAAACTGTCACTCCTGCCCTCTGTTGGGGGACTGTAAGCTGTCACTCCTGCCCTCTGTTGGGGGGACTGTAAGCTGTCACTCCTGCCCTCTGTTGGGGGACTGTAAGCTGTCACTCCTGGCCTCTGTTGGGGGACTGTAAGCTGTCACTCCTGGCCTCTGTTGGGGAACTGTAAGCTGTCACTCCTGGCCTCTGTTGGGGGACTGTAAGCTGTCACTCCTGGCCTCTGTTGGGGGACTGTAAGCTGTCACTCCTGCCCTCTGTTGGGGGACTGTAAACTGTCACTCCTGGCCTCTGTTGGGGGACTGTAAGCTGTCACTCCTGGCCTCTGTTGGGAAGACTGTAAACTGTCACTCCTGCCCTCTGTTGGGGGACTGTAAACTGTCACTCCTGCCCTCTGTTGGGGGACTGTAAGCTGTCACTCCTGGCCTCTGATGGGAAGACTGTAAGCTGTCACTCCTGGCCTCTGTTGGGGGACTGTAAGCTGTCACTCCTGCCCTCTGTTGGGGGAACTGTAAGCTGTCACTCCTGCCCTCTGTTGGGAAGACTGTAAGCTGTCACTCCTGCCCTCTGTTGGGGGACTGTAAGCTGTCACTCCTGGCCTCTGTTGGGGGAACTGTAAGCTGTCACTCCTGCCCTCTGTTGGGGGAACTGTAAGCTGTCACTCCTGCCCTCTGTTGGGAAGACTGTAAGCTGTCACTCCTGCCCTCTGTTGGGGGACTGTAAGCTGTCACTCCTGGCCTCTGTTGGGAAGACTGTAAGCTGTCACTCCTGCCCTCTGTTGGGAAGACTGTAAACTGTCACTCCTGGCCTCTGTTGGGGGACTGTAAACTGTCACTCCTGGCCTCTGTTGGGGGACTGTAAACTGTCACTCCTGGCCTCTGTTGGGAAGACTGTAAGCTGTCACTCCTGCCCTCTGTTGGGAAGACTGTAAACTGTCACTCCTGCCCTCTGTTGGGGAACTGTAAGCTGTCACTCCTGCCCTCTGTTGGGGGACTGTAAGCTGTCACTCCTGCCCTCTGTTGGGGGACTGTAAGCTGTCACTCCTGGCCTCTGTTGGGGAACTGTAAGCTGTCACTCCTGCCCTCTGTTGGGGGACTGTAAGCTGTCACTCCTGCCCTCTGTTGGGGGACTGTAAGCTGTCACTCCTGGCCTCTGTTGGGGGACTGTAAACTGTCACTCCTGCCCTCTGTTGGGGGACTGTAAGCTGTCACTCCTGGCCTCTGTTGGGAAGACTGTAAGCTGTCACTCCTGCCCTCTGTTGGGGGAACTGTGAACTGTCACTCCTGCCCTCTGTTGGGGGACTGTAAGCTGTCACTCCTGGCCTCTGTTGGGGGAAGTGTAAGCTGTCACTCCTGGCCTCTGTTGGGGGACTGTAAGCTGTCACTCCTGGCCTCTGTTGGGGGAACTGTAAGCTGTCACTCCTGGCCTCTGTTGGGGAACTGTAAGCTGTCACTCCTGGCCTCTGTTGGGGGACTGTAAGCTGTCACTCCTGCCCTCTGTTGGGGGAACTGTAAGCTGTCTCTCCTGGCTTCTGTTGAGGGACTCTAAGCTGTCACTCCTGGCCTCTGATGGGAAGACTGTAAGCTGTCACTCCTGGCCTCTGTTGGGGGACTGTAAGCTGTCACTCCTGGCTTCTGTTGAGGGACTCTAAGCTGTCACTCCTGGCCTCTGTTGGGGGAACTGTAAGCTGTCACTCCTGGCCTCTGTTGGGGGAACTGTAAGCTGTCACTCCTGGCCTCTGTTGGGGGAACTGTAAGCTGTCACTCCTGCCCTCTGTTGGGGGGACTGTAAGCTGTCACTCCTGCCCTCTGTTGGGGGGACTGTAAGCTGTCACTCCTGGCCACAGTTGGGGCACTGTAAGCTGTCACTCCTGGCCACAGTTGTGGGAACTGTAAACTGTCACTTCTGGCCACAGTTGGGGGACTGTAAGCTGTCACTCCTGGCCACAGTTGGGGCACTGTAAGCTGTCACTCCTGCCCTCTGTTGGGGGAACAGTAAACTGTCGCTCCTGGCCTCAGTTGTGGGAACTGTAAGCTGTCACTCCAGGCCACAGTTTGGGATCTGTAAACTGTCACTCATAGCCTCTGTTGGGGGAACTGTATGCTGTCACTCCTGCCCTCTGTTGGGGGAACTGTATGCTGTCACTCCTGCCCTCTGTTGGGGGAACTGTATGCTGTCACTCCTGCCCTCTGTTGGGGGAACTGTATGCTGTCACTCCTGCCCTCTGTTGGGGGAACTGTAAGCTGTCACTCCTGGCCTCTGTTGGGGGAACTGTAAGCTGTCACTCCTGCCCTCTGTTGGGGGAACTGTAAGCTGTCACTCCTGGCCTCTGTTGGGGAACTGTAAGCTGTCACTCCTGCCCTCTGTTGGGGAACTATAAGCTGTCACTCCTGCCCTCTGTTGGGGAACTGTAAGCTGTCACTCCTGGCCACAGTTGGGGAACTGTAAGCTGTCACTCCTGGTCACAGTTGGGGAACTGTAAGCTGTCACTCCTGGCCACAGTTAGGGAACTGTAAGCTGTCACTCCTGGCCTAAAGTCACTGGTCAATTGGGTACAGAATATACCCCATTTGTAAGGAAGAAAACGTAGCAAGAATGCATTCCACCTTCTCGAAGGGTAACTCAACAACTGCAGGACCCAGCGGCATTAACCAGTCTTACCTTCGTCGCAGAAGTCGAATATGGGCGAGAAGTTGCCATTGGTGAGGCACTGGGAGACGTGGGCCACGTCGTTGGAGATCCAGGCGGTGCCGTTGTCGCAGGTGTAGTAGTAGGCGGCGTCGGTAACCAGGGCGGTGCTGGAGGCGTTGGCCACCACCGGGATCATGCTGCCATTACACGACTGTGTGTTGGCCGGCGGCGCCCCTGTTGGGTAGGTGAGGGGGACACTGGGTCAACCAGGGCTGGCTGGAAGGAGGGTGGTGATGGGTGGGGTAGAGGTGGGGTGATGGGTGTTCAGAACGGTCAACAGGAAGCAGAGGGGGTGTTCAGAATGGTAGACAGGAGGGTAGTGTTCAAAACGGTCAACAGGAAGCAGAGGGGTGTTCAGAATGGTAGACAGGAGGGTAGAGGGTGTTCAGAACGGTCAGCAGGAAGCAGAGGGGTGTTCAGAACGGCAGACAGGGGTCATGGGGTGTTCAGAGTGGTAGACAGGAGGGCAGAGGGTGTTCAGAACGGTAGACAGGGGCCATGGGGGTGTTCAGAAGCTTGCATAAGGATAAATGTGTTGTACAAAATGTGCAACAGGGAAGAGGGAAGGTGTACAGAATGGTCAGTATACACATCATGATCCATACAAGCACAGAGTAAGTGTATGGTGTCGTGTTCACTGTAGAACTCACTGTTGACGTGGTCTTGGGTGTAGATCTACACAGTAGGTGTAGCCAAGTGTATTCACTAATCATATATCTCACAGAGTGCTACAGTAGGGGACCTCGCGGCTGAGTGGACGGAGCTCCCGGGTCATAGTCCTAAGGGGCCCCGGGTTCAATCCCCGGCGAAGGCGGGAAACAAATAATCAGAGTATCTTTCACCCTGATGCCTCTGTTCACCTAGCAGCAAATAGGTACCTGGGAGTTAGACAGTTGCTTCGGGCTGCTTCCTGGGATATGTGTGCGTATGTGCTTGTGTTATAGAGAAATATTTGTAGCAGACATAATAGAGGGGGAAAATAAATTGGTGAGAAAAGCGGGGCCCAAGAGCTAATAGCTTGATTCTGGAGATACAAATAGTAAATATATCGTTATCAGTGCAGGCGATGAGTTACAATAACGTGGCTGACGTATGTTGACCAGACCACACACTAGAAGGTGAAAGGACGACGACGTTTCGCTCCGTCCTGGACCATTCTCAATCGACTTGAGAATGGTCCAGGACGGAGCGAAACGTCGTCGTCCCTTCCACCTTCTAGTGTGTGGTCTGGTCAACACCGTTACGGGTGTGAAGAGATCGGTTGTACTCACCACAGGTGGCGCTGCTGGCGTTCTGGCCGTTGATGGTACAATAGACGGTGAGGACACTACCCCCCGTGGACCACACCTGGCCAGCCTTCGGGCAGGTCCACGCCTGCACCATGTCCTTGATCAGCACCTTCACTATGGTGCCCTTGGGACCCGGCTTGGGGCACGGCACGCTCTCGCTCACACCTGTCACCAACACTCGCAGCTGTCACTCTATGAACTGGTGTTTTTTTTTTTTACATGTAATTAGACATAGAAATTAGATTTTTTTTACCTGTAAATAGAAAGTGAGTTAAACATACACATATACACACACATACACCACACACACACACACACACACACACACACACACACACACACACACACACACACACACACACACACACACGCAGAAGTGCAAGGACGCAGCAAACAAGTTTGTCCCAGTCCAAAAGGAAAACAGAGAAATGAAGATGAGAAACCCATGGTTTAATCAAAGATGTAGGCTAGCTAAGCAGCAAAGTAAAAGGGCATGGAGAAACTATAGGAATAACAGGACACTGGAGAGCAGAGAAAGATACCAGAATGCCAGGAATGAATATGTCAGGATGAGAAGAGAGGCAGAAAGACAATACGAAAATGACATCGCAAGCAAGGCAAAGACTCAGCCTAAATTGTTGCATAGCCACATTAGGAGAAAAACAACAGTAAAGGAACAGGTTATGAGATTAAGGATAGGGGCGGAAGGATTCACTACAAATGACAAGGAAGTGTGTGAGGAATTGAATAAGAAATTCCAGGAGGTCTTCACCTTAGAACAAGGAGAAATTCCAAAGGTAAGTGAGGGAATAGCTAACCAGGAACCACTGGAAGAGTTTGAGATTACCAGTGGGGAAGTAAGGAAGTGTTTACTAGAGTTGGACGTGACGAAGGCTATAGGCCCAGATGGAATCTCCCCTTGGGTTCTAAAGGAAGGAGCAAGAGAACTGAGCCTACCACTCTCCATAGTGTATAACAAATCACTGGCAACAGGGGAACTGCCAGATATTTGGAAAGCAGCTAACGTAGTCCCGATATACAAGAAAGGGGATAGACAGGAGGCACTGAACTACAGGCCAGTGAAGATTGTGCGAAAAAAACTAGTGGAGCATCTGGAGCGAAGGAACTTTGTAACACAGCATCAACATGGGTTCAGGGATGGCAGGTCCTGCCTCACAGGGTTACTTGAATTCTACGACCAGGCAACAAAAATAAGGCAAGAAAGAGAAGGGTGGGCAGACTGCATATTTTTGGATTGTCAGAAAGCCTTTGATACAGTGCCACACAAGAGGCTAGTGCGAAAGTTGGAGATGCAGGCTGGAGTGAGAGGGAAGGTACTCCGGTGGATAGAGGAATACCTAAGCAACAGGAGACAACGAGTCTGTGTGAGGGGTGAGGTCTCAGATTGGCGAGACGTCACAAGTGGAGTCCCGCAGGGGTCAGTCCTTGGACCTATACTGTTTCTGGTATATGTAAATGATCTCCCAGAGGGTATAGATTCGTTCCTCTCAATGTTTGCCGACGATGCAAAAATTATGAGGAGGATTGAAACAGAGGATGATAGTAGGAGGCTACAAGATGACCTGGATAGACTGAGTGAATGGTCCAACAAATGGCTGTTGAAGTTCAACCCGAGTAAATGCAAAGTAATGAAACTAGGCAGTGGAAACAGGAGGCCAGGCACAGGATACAGAATAGGAGATGAATTACTTAATGAAACAGACAGAGAGAAAGATCTAGGAGTTGATATCACACCAAACCTGTCTCCTGAAGCCCACATAAAGAGAATAACGTCTGCGGCATATGCGAGGCTGGCTAACATCAGAACGGCGTTCAGGAACCTGTGTAAGGAATCATTCAGAATCTTGTACACCACATATGTAAGACCAATCCTGGAGTATGCGGCCCCAGCATGGAGCCCGTACCTTGTCAAGCACAAGACGAAGCTGGAAAAAGTCCAAAGGTATGCTACTAGACTAGTCCCAGAACTAAGAGGCATGAGTTATGAGGAAAGGCTGCGGGAAATGCACCTCACGACACTGGAAGACAGAAGAGTAAGGGGGGACATGATCACAACCTACAAAATCCTCAGGGGAATCGACCGGGTAAACAAGGATGAACTATTCAACACTGGTGGGACGCGAACAAGGGGACACAGGTGGAAGCTGAGTACCCAAATGAGCCACAGAGACGTTAGAAAGAACTTTTTCAGTGTCAGAGTAGTTAGTAAATGGAATGCATTAGGAAGTGATGTGGTGGAGGCTGACTCCATACACAGTTTCAAATGTAGATATGATAGAGCCCAATAGGCTCAGGAATCTGTACACCAGTTGATTGACGGTTGAGAGGCGGGACCAAAGAGCCAGAGCTCAACCCCCGCAAGCACAATTAGGTGAGTACAATTAGGTGAGCACACACACACACACACACACACACACACACACACACACACACACACACACACACACACACACACACAAATAAATAACTCTGAAGTAATGACTGCAGTGATGGAGGTGGCCATGAAAGCAGCCACCTCGCAGGAGGCGGCACGCTCCACTAGCCAACTGCTGGAAAGGAACAGATCAGTGGTTGCTGTGGGTATTAAGGAGCAGGAAGGAACTAATAGGACAGAGTGGAGTGACAAGGACAAAGCAGCAGTGAATGAAGTACTAAAGGCACTAGACATGGAAGGGGCTGAGCATAGCATTGAGAAGGTTTTCAGGCTAGGCCAGTACAACAAAGACCGAGACCGAATGATAAAGATAGTGTTTGCAAACGAGAACACAAAGGAGAAGATCCTATCAAGGAAGAGCTCCCTGAAAAACGTGGGAAAATTAAAAAATGTATTCCTCCAGAGAGACATGACAAGGGAGGAGAGAGCCGTGGCGGCAGAAGCAAGGAAGAGGCGCAGGGCGAGAGGGGAAAACCAGGAAGTCACAGCTCCCAACCCAACACCCCCAGAGGCGAGGGGGGAACCCACAACCAGCTACCCAGTAACACCAGAAGGGAGGACAACCCCGCCTCCCTCCACTGCATAGAAAACCCCCCTACCCTAAACCCTCCCTGCCCCCACTCAAATGTTCAGCAAAATCTCCCTCCCCCCACACCCAATCCCCACCCTTCTACCCCTCCCCTCCTCCCGAGTCCTCCCTCCCCCCCTTTCCTTCCCGTCCTCCCTCCCCTTTCACCCCATACCCTCCCTGTCCCTCCCCCTTCACTGGATCCCCCGCCCCTCATCCCAGTATCCTCTGAGACCCTGTTATCCACCTCACAGATCCTCACACCCATGGAACAGCCTCCCCCACCAGCAGAACACTCACCAAGGAGGCGATTTGAGAAGGGACAGAAGAAAGTGAGCCTCAAAGCGATGTACACAAACATAGATGGAATTACAAATAAAGCAAATGAGCTTGGAGAACTGGTACTAGAGGAAAACCCAGACATAATAGCCCTCACAGAAACAAAGATCACGAAAACGATAACAAATGCAGTGTTCCCACAGGACTATTATGTTATGAGGAAAGAGAGGGAAGGAAGAGGTGGGGGTGGTGTAGCTCTGCTGGTAAGACAAGGCTGGGATTTTGAGGAGATGGATATTCAGGGCTGCGAAGGTTTCAGTGACTACATAGCAGGTACTGTAACAAATGGAGGGAAAAAAATTATAGTCGCAGTCATATATAATCCACCACCAAATGACAGAAGACCTAGACAGGAATATGATAGAAACAACATGGCCACCATTAACATAATAGAAAGAGCAGCTTCTGTTGCTAGCAGGAATGGATCTGGACTACTAATTATGGGAGACTTCAACCATGGGAAGATAGATTGGAAGAACAGAGACCCGCATGGAGGACCAGAAACATGGAGAGCTAAGCTGCTGGACGTGGCAACAAGAAACTTTCTAAGCCAGCACACCAAAGAACCAACAAGAATGAGAGGAGAAGATGAACCAGCAATGCTTGATTTGATATTTACCCTAAATGAATGGGATATAAGGGAAGTTAAGATGGAAGCGCCCTTGGGAATGAGTGACCACAGTGTATTGAACTTTGAGTACCTGGTAGAGCTAGGACTTATCTCCCCCCAAAAAGAACTAGGAATCAAAAGGCTGGCATACCGAAAGGGGAATTATGAACAGATGAGAAGTTTCCTAAGTGAAATACCTTGGGACACAGACCTCAGAGACAAGTCTGTACAGGGTATGATGGACTATGTTACCCAAAAGTGTCAGGAGGCAGTAAACAGGTTCATCCCGGCCCAAAGGGAAAAATCCGAGAAGCAACAGAAGAATCCATGGTATAATAGGGCATGTATGGAAGCGAAGAAACTGAACAAAAAGGCGTGGAGGAACTTCCGGAATAACAGAACACCAGAAAGCAGAGAGAGATACCAGAGAACCAGGAATGAGTACGTCAGGGTGAGAAGAGAAGCAGAGAAAAATTTTGAAAATGATATAGCAAACAAAGCCAAGACCGAACCAAAGCTACTCCACAGTCACATCAGAAGGAAAACAACAGTGAAAGAACAGGTATTGAAACTTAGAACAGGCGAGGACAGGTATACAGAGAATGACAGAGAGGTGTGTGAGGAACTCAACAAGAGGTTCCAGGAGGTCTTCACAATAGAACAAGGTGAGGTCACTGTGCTAGGAGAAAGGGAGGTAAACCAGGCGGCCTTGGAGGAGTTCGAAATTACGAGAGAGGAGGTCAAGAGACACCTGCTGGATCTGGATGTTAGAAAGGCTGTTGGTCCAGATGGGATCTCACCATGGGTACTGAAAGAGTGTGCAGAGGCACTTTGCCTGCCACTCTCCATAGTGTATAGTAAGTCACTAGAGACGGGAGACCTACCAGAAATATGGAAGACGGCGAATGTGGTCCCAATATACAAAAAGGGCGACAGACAAGAGGCACTGAACTACAGGCCAGTGTCCTTGACTTGTATACCATGCAAGGTGATGGAGAAGATCGTGAGAAAAAACCTGGTAACACATCTGGAGAGAAGGGACTTCGTGACAAATCGCCAACATGGATTCAGGGAGGGTAAATCTTGCCTTACAGGCTTGATAGAATTCTACGATCAGGTGACACAGATTAAGCAAGAAAGAGAGGGCTGGGCGGACTGCATTTTCTTGGATTGTCGGAAAGCCTTTGACACAG